TGACTTCTTTATGGTTAGGCTCCTGGTCTGTTGGAGAAATCTCTCAGAGGAAGGGGTTGGAAACTGCACAGAACTACCCTTGGCACAGGTGGGCAGTCAAATTTTTTCTTTTTTTTTTCTTTTTGCTGTTGTTGAGAAGATGAACTCCCAATCTTGAGATAGCCATATGTCCCTGCCACCTCTCTCAACTCACCTCCCCCACACCATTTTCTGATGCTCTTCAAACACACCATGTCCCACCCTCAACACCATGAGTAGTATCTGCCTCACTGAGCGATCACGCAAAGTGTGTAAGAGGGCGCTTGCTGCACACCAAAGATTCCACTAATTGCTCAAATTTACTGAGTGCCTATGTGGACCTGGCACTCTTCCAAAAACATGAACAAAATAGAGTTCCTGCTCTCATAAAACATCATCGTGGGAGAGGCTGAAATATACACTGAAATAAACAGTAAAATGTAGTCTGTCAAAAAAAAAAATGTAGTCTGTCAAGTGGTGGCAAATGTTACAAAGACAAAGCAAGAAAGTGATGGGGCTGTTGCTATTTTGATGGGAGACCAAAGAAGGCCTCACTGACAAGATGAAATTTCTTTATGAATCTGTGGGGATACAATCCCAATAACAGGAACAGCCAGTGCAAAGGCCCTGTGGTCAGAGCAATAGTTGAGTGTTTGAAGGACCATTTGAAGGTCAGTGGAGCTTCCCAGGTGGAGCTAGTGGTAAAGAACCCATCTGCCAATGCAAGATGTAAGAGACTCAGATTCAATCCCTGGGTTGGGAAGATCCCCTGGAGAAGGGCATGGCAACCCACTCCAGTATTCTTGCCTGGAGAATCCCATGGACAGAGTAGCCTGGTGGGCTACAGTGCATGGGCTAGCAAAGAGTCAGACACGACTGAATAACTTTGCAAGCATCCATGTGGCTGGAGTAGAGACAGCAAGGAGGAGAGTATTAGGAGATGAGATGATAGAGTTTGAGGGGGCAAGTCCTGTAGGGTGTTGTGGAGTCCCATAGAGAGGGCTAGAGCTTTACCCTGAGTGAGATGGAAGGCATGGCAGGGTGTGGGGCTGTGCAGGAAGGAGACCTGACTCACTCCCCCCACCTCCCAATATTTATTTTATTTATTTGGCTGTGCATGTAGAATCTTTAGTTTTGACACACCAGATCTTTTAGCTGCAGCATGGGAATTCTTGCTTCTGGCATTTTGGATCTAATTCCCTGACCAGAGTTCGAACCCTGCCCACCTGCATTGCGAGCAGGATGTCTTAGCTAGGAACCACCAGGAAGTCCCCTGACTCACTTTTACATGGACTCTGTTTACCCTGAACATACAGGTGTACGCTTAGTCGCTCAGTCGTGTCTGACTCTGCGACCCCATGGACTGTTGCCCGCCAGGCTCCTCTGTCCATGAGATTCTCCAGGCAAGAATACTGGAGTGGGTTGCTATACCCTCCTCCAGAGGATCTTCCCAAACCAGGGATCGATCCCAGGTCTCCCGCATTGCGGGCGGATTGTTTATCCTCTGAGCCACCAGGGAAGCCCAAAAATACAGGAGTGATGAGGCATCATGGAGTTTGTTAGGACCACGATGAGGCCAGTATGAGGAGCACGTCCACTTTACAGATGACCAAACTGAGGCTCAGAGAGGCCCAGCCACAGCCGTCAGAAAACTGGCGAGAGAAGTGGAAGAGCTGGCCCCTCAGAGGGAATCGGGCCCCCGAGGGCAGAGTCCGCCTTCCGCAATCTGCCCTCTCGCCTTGGTCCCGCGTTGGGGGAAGGGCTTCGGCCACCTTGGTCCCTCCCACCTGCCCACTCGGCCCGGGAGCCGGGCCGGCGCCTCCCCTCTCCCCAGGGGCGGGGTGGGGCGGTCGGCTGGAGGCGGGGCTATCCCCCGAACGCCCCCGCCCCGCTCCCTCCGCTGCTGGCGGAGGCTCCTCCCCAGGCCTGCCGGGACGGTGGCTCCGCTTCTGGTTTCATTTCTCAAGGCCCGGACTCTCTCTTTCCCTCTGCCTAGCCCTTTGAATTTCTTCTCCACTTTCTGATTTCAGCTCTTAAGTCACCTCCTCAGGGAGGCTCTCCCGGACCACTCCGGCTGCAGGTAGCTCTCCCCTAGCCTCTGTATTATCCCGTCCTATTTGTTTGTGTTTTGTTTTAAGTCACTGAACAGAAGTAGAAAGTATCTTCCTCATTTAGTCATTTTCCAGGGTCTTCTCATCCCACTCAGTAAAAAACAAAGGTCCGCAGAGTGCTCTGAAGGGCCTGAAAACTTCTCTAACTTCCTCCCTGGCCGCAGAGACGGTATCTCCCCAGCTCAGGGCCTTTGCACTGGCCCTTTGCTCTGATTGGAAGGCTTCTTCCAGAGCTTTACCACCTCTCCCACTTCATCAAGTCTCTACTCAATGGATGTCACCTCTTCAGAGAAACCCTCCACCACCAGCTGTTTGTCCAAACTGCACCCTCTTTCATTACTCTTCTGCTCTGCTTTTCCTTTTCACTTATCACCCTCTAAGATACTAAATCATTGCTTTATTCAGCTTGTTGTTCACCTCCTCATATCAGGGATTTCTGTTCATAATGTTCCGGCTATATCTTCAGTGCCTGGCACACAGAAAGTGCTCAATTCGTTTACCTATTTCTTTTCTGTTTCCACTCCATCCATCTCCTATTCCACGAGAAGACAGACCCTGTGAGGCGTATCAAGTGCTGTGCCCCCATTGTCTACAACTGCCCACCACATACTAGGTGCTCAATGCTGTTGCTGCTGATGTCGCTTCAGTCGTGTCCGACTCTGTGCGACCCCATAAACGGTAGCCCACCAGGCTCCCCCGTCCCTGGGATTCTCCAGGCAAGAACACTGGAGTGGGTTGCCATTTCCTTCTCCAATGCATGAAAGTGAAAAGTGAAAGTGAAGTCACTCAGTGTATCTGACTCTCTGCGACCCCATGGACTGCAGCCCACCAGGCTCCTCCGTCCATGGGATTTTCCAGGCAAGAGTACTGGAGTGGGTTGCCGTTGCCTTCTCCAGGTGCTCAATAAACCCACCCTAATCAGATGCCTATGAGCTCTTCTTCTCTTTATGACCTGGAAAGAGCCACTTGGAGATTGAGTCGCCTTTTTCCAGGCTAAAAAGATAATTATGTGAATTTACCTAACAGGGGCCTGGTTCTAATTTGCATTTTACCCTTTATTCATTTTGAAAATTTTCAAGCACAGAAAAAAGATGAAAAAAAAAAGTATGTCTTCTGAGCACTTAAATACCCTCTCACCTAGATTTAGTTGATAACATTCTGTTTCCTTTATTTGAATATGTGTATGTATAGATGTATGTTTTTTTCTTTTGCTGAACCACTGGAGAGTATATTGCAGACATCTGAACATTGTACCCCTAATAGCTCAGCAGGCATATTTTAAGATTAAGGTTAAGGACGTTCAACTACAAACCACGGTCCTATTGCACATGTGACAGAATTAAGAATTTCATAATATCACCTAGTATCCAGCCTATATTCAAATTTGCCCAATTTCCTCAAGAACATCCTTTATAGAATTTACCAGCAAACTAGAGTCTAAGGGAGGTTCACATGCCTATTTGGTTGTAACAAAGAAATTATACAGCATCTTTATTCTGAAACATCCTCCCCCTAACCTCACTAATCCCTTTCTGTGGTTTCTTGAAATTGAATTTTTGGAAGAACAACCCAGTTGTGCTGTAGACTTCTCACATTGTGTATTTGTCTGATTGTTTTTGTGTTTAATATTGTCACTGTCTGTTCCCTGTAAGCTGAAGTTTGGGCCTAGATGCTTGAGACTCACTTTATGAAATGTAACAGGGAAACTCCACAACGAATGTTGTGTACTGCCTAATGCATCACATCAGGTACCACCCAGTGTCCGGGCATCCCACTGCTGTGGATGCAAAGTTTCATTATATAGCTAAGGTGCTGAGCACCTCCTCTTCCCATCATAAAAGGATATTTCCCCCTTTGCAGTTAGCAAGGAATCTGTGGGATGATGCTTTGGAAACTCTCGAGATCCTGTTCCCCATTAACTTTTCACCCTAAAGGGTGAGCATCCATTGAAAATGGTTGCCTGAATCAAGTAGTTGAGTTAGCATTTTTGATAACTTACTTTGGTCAGAAGATTTATTCACAGTTTGTTTTTCCCCTTAGCAAATGAGGTATTTGAAGAAGGTAAGTCCCATTGTCAGTTTATCTGACATGTATTAAACTTCTGTCCACCTGCACCCCACCCTGAATGTCTCCCCTTGAACTGAGCACCTGTGCTATCACTACAACACTACTACTGAAAAAAAGGACACCTAAGACACCACTCAGCATTGTGCAGGAATTGTTTAATCCTCAAAACAATCCTCTGAGCCAGAGGCCATTTCTCTCATTTTAAAAAAATAAGGGAGAAAACCTAAAGAATTAAAACACTTGGTCAAGGTCACACAGCTATTGTACTCACGGAATGGAGCCCAGGAAGGGAGTCCAGGTCCATTCCACTCCCTACCCTAACTCCCGTCTGTAACCACGATTGAGTTCAACTACCCAGAATTTGCTTATATAGTGCTCTTGCAGATAATACCTTACTGTAAGTTTCCCAACTCTCAAGAGGTAAGCAAAAAGATCCCTCTTTAACAGACTCTGTGGGCTCAGAAACCAGAATTTGAACCCAGGACTAAGCTGGCCTAGAGTGTAGACCCCTGTTGGGGCTGCTTGCGTAAGCTCAATTATTGGGTTTGACAAGTGCGTGGGCAGATGTGAGGGGGCCCACAGCTTGAGAGACAAAAACCCCACCGCGCTACAGTCCTACAGGGCCAGGAGCCACCCTATCTTCCTCCTCCCTTCAAGCAGTCTCCCGGACATGCGCCCTAAAGACAACTCGCCCCTCTTTCTAGCCTGCCTTCTACAGGCTCCGCCCATCACTGTCTAGGACCAATCCCTGGGCGAAGGGCGGGGCTGCCAGGGGAGTGGGCGGTAACTAAGGGGAGTCAGGAGCCGGGAGTCGTGAGCTGGAGTCAGAACTGCGTCTCTCAACCCAGGCGCCGGTTGCTGAAGGAGAGCGGGCGAGCAATGCTGCCGCCACCCCTTCCTGATTGGCTGCGGGTGGCTCCCTCTTCTTTCTGATTGGCAGCTGGTGAACTAGGTATGTAAATGAAGGGAAGAGGCCTGGGGAAAGAGGGGTACTGGCCGCGGGGTCCTTTGGCAGGTTCGATCCCCCGGTTCGGCAGGTGCGCGCCAGGACTGCCCGGGATCGAGGCGCACGGGCCTCTCCGTGCCGCCCGCCCCGGCCTGGCGGGTGAATCACACCGCAGCCCTGGAAGGGGGCGGAGGCGCCGGCTCTCTGGCTCCGGCTGCGTGACTCACCCGCCCCCGCCGCCGCCGCCGCCGCCGCCACCGCTTCGGGAGGAGTAGCCTCCACTGCCTTCCGGAAGCAAGCGGAGGCCGAGAGGGCAGAACGGCCCTCCGGGGATCCCGGGCCGCACGGTCCCTGGTGGCAAGCAGAAATGACCGCGTCCCGCGGGGCACTGTGAAGAGTCCCGGGGTCTGGGGAGTCGGAATCCCCGGGGGAAGCCGGCCTGGCGCCGCCAGGGGGCGCCGGGACCGGGGGGGCGGAGTCGGGGGTGGCGGCTGAATTCCTGCGGTTCCGGACTCTCGGATCTGCTGGGAAGGAGGCGAGGACCCAGTTTTGAGTAGTGTGAGGGGGTCACTATTGAAGTCCTCCTGGGCAAGGATTAGGGTACTGTACCCTGCAGGCTGCCTGGCTTAAAAAAGCAGGTTGGGTCAGGGGCACCCACCCCGGGGAAAGTGTGGGTCTTCAAACTTTTTTCCGTGACCCCCGTGCCCATGAGGATTTTCCGGCAAGCTCTGTCCACGCTGCCTCTCAAATAAATCCTGAATCGACCATCTTCCTTCCGCGTCCACTGCCACCTTATACTTCCAAGTCACCATCTTCGCCCACCCCCAAAGACTGCAGTAGCCTCCGAAAAGATCTCAGGGCCACTCTTCCCGCCCCTCCTCGCTCCCCCTGCCTCTTAGCAGCCAAGGGGATCTTCTGGAAACCTAATCAGTCCACAACACCACTGTCCTCTCTGCTCAAACCGCTTCAATGACTTCCCACCACACCCCCCAATAAAATCCAAGCTCCTTGCCTCTGCCTACTCTCAAACCCCCCACATCCTCCCTACTCCATCCTCAACCCCCACCCCTTGCACTGACTACAGAGTCCTTTTTTCAGCTCAAACTCATCCAGTCTCTAGGGTTTTCTTTGCCCTTGCTGTTTTTTACTCCCAGAATGCCTTCCCCCTGGTTCTTCCATGGCTGATTTTTTCTCATACTTGAGGGCTCATTTCAAATGTCACCTCCTCAGGGGAGCCTTCCCTGACCACTCTCCAGAAACTTTTAGCATCTTCCTAGCACCATCGGTACATTTCTTGTGTTTGTTTATTGTCTGATGCTGTTAGTAGACACTCAATAAATATTAGATTAAACCATGTGAAACAACTGCTTTTGTAGGTTAAAAAAAGTTGAATATTGGACATTTCACACTGGACATTTTCACACTGGACACTTCACATTAGCCATTTCACATAGTTCATTGAAGAAACAGATAATAATAGTTATTATCAATAGTACTTATTTACAGGAGTAATTGCTATGTAACAAACACTGTCCAAAGTGCTTTTTTAAATCTCATTTATTCCTTAAAACAACTCCAGGAAGTAGATACAATTATCATTCATGTCTTAAAGCTTCCCCAAGAAAACGTAGGCTCAGAAAGGTTAAGTGCTTTGCCCAAGATCACACAGCAATGGTCGGAACTTCACACTGGCTTTCCATAACTGAATGCCTCTTCCCTCCCCACAGATGATGCTGAGCAAGGGCCTGAAGCGAAAGCGGGAGGAGGAGGAGGAGGAGGAGAAGGAAACCCTGGCGGTGGACGCCTGGTGGCTGGATCCCAGCCACTCGGCAGTAGCTCAGGCGCCCCCGGCTGTGGCCTCCAGCTCTCTCTTTGACCTCTCGGTGCTCAAGCTCCACCACAGCCTGCGGCAGAGTGAGCCGGACCTGCGGCACCTGGTGCTGGTAGTGAACACGCTGCGGCGAATCCAGGCATCCATGGCACCCGCAGCTGCCCTGCCACCTGTGCCCACCCCGCCTACAGCCCCCAGTGTGGCTGACAACCTGCTGGCCAGCTCTGATGCTGCCCTCTCAGCCTCCATGGCCAGCCTCCTGGAGGACCTCAGCCATATTGAGGGCCTGAGCCAGGCCCCACAGCCCCTGGTAGATGAGGGGCCACTAGGCCGCCCCGCCGGCGGAGCCTCACCCAGCCTGGGCGCCTTGGACCTGCTGGGCCCAGCCACTGGCTGTCTGCTGGACGATGGGCTCGAGGGCCTGTTTGAGGACATTGACACATCCATGTATGACAGTGAACTCTGGACACCAGTCTCTGAGAGCCACAAATCCAGCCCTGAAGATGGACCAGGCAAGGAGGTAGGTCCAGATCTGGACGAGGCCGAGCTGGACTACCTCATGGACGTGCTGGTGGGCACACAGGCACTGGAGCGACCCCCGGGGCCGGGGCGTTGACCCCTCTGGGCTGAGATGTTGATCTAATGTCCAAACTGAGCCTGCTGGCTGGACCAACTCTCCTTGGAAAGACACAGCTGGCTTCCCTCGAGAGGGCCTTTGGAGAGAAAGAATCCAGTCCTGGGCAACTTCACCTCCATCCTCTTGTCTCTGACTGATGGGGAGGGGAGTCTGGGATTGGCCCTTGTGATGAAATGACAGGGCCTTGGTTGCTGGAATGTGATTGGACTAGGTCCTGTGCTGAATCCCCAGAGGCACAGCCTGGGATACATTTGCGTCGATGTGGGAAGAGACCCCAACCTGTTTTTTGAAATTAAAGCCAGTCCTGGAAAGTCTGAAGTGTGTGTACTGCTTTGTTTCTGGGCCAAGGCAAGGGTGAGGGTGGTAGAAAACCTCTAACATTTATCAAGCGAGAACTGTGCACGCAGCACAGTTCTAAGCACTTGACATGTGCTAACTGATTTAATCCTCATAACAAGATGGGCATGTTATTATCCCCGTTTTACAGTTGAGAAAACTGAGGCTCCAAGAAGTCAACTCTTAGGGAGATAAGTTTCAAACTTTACTGCTTTTTGGTCTGAGAAGCAGACCAATTAGGTCTGGAAACTGGCTCTCTAGAAAACTTCTGGAATATACTGTCAGGTCTCCCCATGTGCCTGTGTGTGTACCTAATGGTGGTGGTGGGTGGTCGTGGAGGAGGAGGAACCAGGGGCCAGTGTTTAAAAGTGAAATCTAGACCTTGCCTGGAGTCTACCTGTGTGTCTTGGGCGGTGGGGGGGCAGAAGGAGCTTTCAGAATGAACCAGAAATAAAAGCACAAAGCTAAAGGCTGGATGGAGCCTCTCCTCTGAGCACAGAGAGCCAGTTCTCCGGGAAAATGATGAAAGAAAGACTCCAGCAAGTTTTAAACAAAATCCACTCCGGGTCTCAAATCTCTCTTTGGGCTAGGGATAAGGCAGCTCGGAAGCTGATTCCGAAATAAAGCCACCAAGTGTGGTGGCTTGACCGGCAAGGGATCCTGCTTTCCTTCTAGAAGAAACTCTGAGCCCCGGCGGGCTGGGGCCACCTGCCTGACAGGCCTATGCTATAGGGCCGGCCTGAGCGCCGGGTGTCTGCGCCGCCCCCGCCGTCCAGCCGCATTCCTGGCCCGGCTGGGAGGGGCCGCACACTCAGAGGCCTGGCACGGGACCCAGGCGGCGTCCTTCCTGGCGGCCGTGGGGGCAGGGCCGCGCCCGGGGTACCGGAGGGGGGAGGGGCACGGTGAACGCGGCAGCGGGGAGGCAGCTTCGGCCGGGCCTGCGGGCCTGGAAGGGGCGGGCACAGGGGAGCTTCCTGGAGGAGCGGAGGAAGTCGTGCCCATTTCTGGAAGTGGATGGGGTGGCCCCGGGAGGGGAGTGGCAATGCCCCAAAGGGAGCTGGTGCCCCAGTTCAGGGTCTTCCGGGTGCCTGACTCCAATACCTGGGGGCTCCAGCCCCTGGGCAGTGGGACTCAGATTCGATTTTGACCCAGACACAGACCCTGGGCGTAGGCTGAGCTCAGCAATGCCCCCTGGTGCCCAGTCTTGGGGGGGGGGGTCTGTCCTGTCACTACCTTAAGATTCCCTTGTGACCTGACCGGTGGTCAAGGAGTCCCCCGTGTGGGGTCAGCAATGCCTTCTGTTTACAACACCGTGAGGACCTATTTCTGATGATGTTTCTGAGTGCCAAATCGGGGGATAATCTGTGATACCTATTGACGCAGGCAGTCTGTCAACGATGGTCCCATCTACCCCTGTGCCTGTTTGGTGAGGGGTGCTCCCCTCTCCCCAGTCTCCGTGTACAGTTGTTCAGGTTGTGCACTGCACACAGGCTCCGTTTTGAAGGGGCTACCACAAATGTCTCCAGCACCATGTGTTTACACAGTTATGAGGACAGTTTCTCAGTAGATGGAGATCAAGTGCCTTGGGGAAGGGGGCGTGCCTTTTGCACAAAAGCAGCATGTGGACTAGATCAGTTCCGGTTCCATCCCCCTGCTGCCTTCAGGTTTATGACAGCTCGTGGCTGAGGGCCCGTGCTGCACTCCCTGTGTCTGACCCCTGAAGAAGGATTGTGCAGCTCCTGGCTCTGGTGTGCCCCTCCGCCCTCAGACTCAACCCCAGGAAGCCGGGCTACCTCAGCCAGCAGATTCCAGGGCCCACACCATTCCTCATGGAGCTGCCAGCCCTGCCGCTGTGGCCGCTTTTCACAGAGCCTCTGTGTATTCCCACCACGACCCTCCCCAGGCCCGCTCCCCTCCTTGGGCATTCACAGGGACCCCTACCCATCACACACACACACAACCTTCTCTCCTCCAGCACCTGGGAGAACTGTCCTTGGTCTCCTTCTTTCCCCTCCCCCTCCTTCCCTTATTCAGCAAAGATTTACTGCTCCCTACCCCACCAGGTTCAATCTCTGGGTTGGGAAGATTCCCTGGAGGAGGGTATGGCAACCCACTCCAGGAGTCTTGCCTGGAAAAACCCCATGGACAGAGGAGCCTGGCAGGCTGCAGTCCACGGGGTTGCAAAGAGTTGGACCTGACTGAGTGACTAAGCACAGCACAGCAGAAGCATCGTTAGACTTCTGCACTGGGACCAGTAAATGTTCGTTGAATGAATGAGTGGGACTGGGTGGAAGGTGAGTCTTGGAAAGGGCAGGGTTCACATCCCCAAGGAGAGGGATACATTCTGAGAGGCCCAGAGGGTGGGAGAGATGCTGTCAGATTTGCCTTTTACATACAGCCCGGCACCTGGTAGGGTGAAGTGAAGTCGCTCAGTCGTGTCCGACTCTGCGACCCCGTGGACTGCAGCCTGCCCGGCTCCTCTGTTCATGGGGTTTCTCCAGGCAAGGCTCCTGGAGTGGGCTGCCATGCCCTCCTCCAGGGAATCTTCCCAACCCAGGGATTGAACCCAGGTCTCCCACATTGCAGACAGGTTCTTTACCATCCGAGCCACGGGGAAAGACCCTAATGGTACTTAATCAATGATTATTGACCCAATAAGCTGTACTGGGGGTCTTCCTTGGTGGTCCAGGGGTTAAGACTCCATGCTTCTGTTGCGGCCAAAGTCTTGGCTTTCTTTACCCACAGAAGCCGAATAAAAGATACGGAGACAGAGTCTGGAGGAAATGGAAAAATATCTTTAATCCTCAGCCGGCAGAGGGGAGAACTCATGCTTCGAGAACTGTGTCCTTGAAGTCCAGATTCCTCTTCCAGGAAGAATCTGGGGAGTTATATAAGGTGAGGGCTCACAGTCAGGGGTCGGTGATGAGAACAAAGGTATAAGGAACTTGTGTTCTTCTTCCTCTTACATTGTTTCAGAAACAGTCATAGGCTGGCATCAGGTAGCCCAGTAATTGGGTCTGGCAGACCGGTAGTCAGGTCCACTGTCTTTTATGTGTGGCATTCTTTATATAATGCAAAAAGAGAAAAAACTATGAGGGGTGGTCTGTGAAGAAAGTGCTGTAAAGGTGAGCACCAGATACAGAATGTAATTAGCCCAGAGTCAAAGGATAATAGTTGCAAAATGTAGCTCTTGTGGAGTTAGGGGGCAGAAAAGCAAACTTAGTTACAGAATACAGATTAGAACAGTTACAGTGAAAACTAGGAGTGATCAGCCCTGCTTATTGTTCTCTTTATCTTTGTTCTCAGGAAAGAAGAGAAGCACTCATTCCCCCTGTTTTCCTTTTCACTGCAACACTTCCAACGCAGGGAGCACAGGTTTGTGCCCTGGATGGGAACAAAGATCCCACATGCTGTGAGGTGCAGCATTAAAAAAAAAAAAAATTGGATTGTGTTAAAAGCCCGGCCACCTATATTTTGCCATTCTGTGGCTATGTGACCCTAGGCAAGGTACTCAACTTCTGTGGGCCTCAGAGTCCTCATCTGTAAGCTGGGACAGTAAGCGTAGCCACCTCGAAGGGCTATTGTTCTGAGGGGAGAGTGTTCTAGGCAGAAGGATGTGCTAGGGTAAGGGAGGGAGGGACCCTACAACCTTTTCAGGGATCTGTAAGCTGCTGAGTTTGATTGGGAAGAAGGGGAAAGCAGTAAGGTAAGTGATGGAGCTGGAGGGGTTGGTAGGGACCAGGGCACAGAGGCCCTGGATGGGAGACTTTACTCTGAAGGCACTAGGGTAAAGGAATCTAGAAATAAATGGATCTGTCTGGCTGCCATGTGTATCTGGTGGTGGGAGGTGATACAGGAGGCCAGGAGTTGAGAGGGGAGGCCAGAGAGGGACAGATCAGCCTTGGAGAGGGGAGGGGGGGGGAGGGAGAGTTGCAAGAGAGGACAGCCTGTAGGAGTGATGAGCTTCAGTGGAGGAGGGGCCTAAGATGAGATCCAGGGCTCTAGCCTGGGAACTTGGGGCTACTCTACAATGGTGACCAGGTCTGGGGTTGACACTGAGGCCAGAGAGGGACACCTTGTGGGTGCAAGGGACTAGGGGGACACTCAGAGGCAGGTATCCAGGCAGCTGCCCCCACCAAACCCTGGGGACTGGAGCTCAGTAGAGAGGGCAGGGGACGGAGCAGGCGTAAAGGATGGGGGTGAGGGAGGGAGCTTCCCTGGGCTGCACTGGGTGGGACCTGCCTGGCTCAGATGGGTGGGGAGAGGGTGGTCCCTGAGTAGCGCCTTCCACGTCCTTCCCCACCCCTGCAGGATGTCCTGTGTTTACGGAGGTGGCCTTGGCCGGAACTGGGACACTGGTGCCACCCCCTGAACTCAACTTCCTATGGCCACCCCACCCCCCAGGGGGAAGAAAAGGCAAGAGACAGAGAAAGAGAGACACAGAGAGAGTGAGAAGAGAGGCACAGAGAGAGACAAGGAATGAGGACAGAGACAGAGGGAGACACAGAGAGGCAGAAACACACACACAGAGACCTATCACTCACCACAGAAAACTCACAGCAGGGACTTCACTGGTGGTCCAGTGTAAGCATCTGCTTTGCAGTGCAGGGGACGCGGGTTCGATCCCTGCTGGGGGAATTAAGATCCCACACGCCACAGAGCAACTAAGCCCGTGCACCCCGACTGCTGAGCCAACACGCTTTGGTGCCCATGTGCCGCATCAAAAGATCCCGCATGCCACAGCTAAGATGAAGATCCCACGTGCTTCAGAGTTTGATACTGAAACTCCAACTAAGAATCTTAACTTATTTACTTAAACAACTGTAATATTTAGTGGAATATATGTAACTTTGTTCTGTATTTTCTAAGTCTCCTGTAAATGTGTTATCATATTTTCATAATTAAAAAAAAAAAGATACAAGGGAAAAAAAATCTCATGTGCCTCAACTAAGATCAGATGCAGCCAAATAAATAGAGGAATA